CTATTCCTTATGGGAGCAAATTCGTTCAGTATTAGCACTCGAACAGCCTTCTGGAACAAAATAAATTCGTATTCCGAGGTACCACTGTAAATGAAAGAATAACTAGTACAGTGGACCCCCGGCTTACGATATTATTTCATTCCAGAAGTATGTTCAGGTGCCATTACTGAACGAATTTGTTCCCATAAGGAATATTGTGAATTAGATTAGTCCATTTCAGACCCCTAAACATACACTTACAAACGCACTTACATAAATACACTTACATAATTGGTCGCATTGGGAGCTGATCGTAAAGCGGGGGTCCACTGTACAGTATAAATTGCTTTCTCAATGAGAATAAAATATGAGAAATATATAGCAATTATACAAGTTAGTGTTGATTGATTATATCCCAGATATAACTGTGGTAGTAAGAACTCAATGTTGGTCCATGTTCTGACACTCTTCTTGGTCACACTGTGTTAATATATTACTCAATTTAAAAATAAAATATAACTTGCTATAATTTACGTCTCTAATGAAAAAGTAAGATAACTCACCATCTTTGACCCCAATGAAGCTGCTCGGGTTGTCGTTCACATCAATGTCCTGTAGGTGTTGTACAAGATAATACAGGAGGCCCTCCACATTCACGAATGTTTTGTGCGCAAATATGACGTAGGGAAATATAATACCGTACTGTAGCGTTCACAAATGTTTTGATGTGCAAATATATTGTAAGGAAATATAATAGGTAATGACATTTACTTAGCCTAACAGTACTGCTTCTTTAGCCTATTGAACTACGAACAATCACAAAACACAAGAAAACATCGTAAAATATTGTACACATATACATGTTATGGTGTTATAACAAATAATAAACAAACAAATCCCTCACCACTCGTAAGGCAGACGAGCTCTGATGACTTGTGATGATGATGATAATGATGGTGATGATAGTCAGCCATGCAATTACTGATGACAGTTGAATAAAGGTGATTATATGGAGTGTAACTGCATGGCATGATGAGTCTAGTGTGTGGAGTCTAATTCTTCGCTGCCAGCGTCACTGCCGACATCGCTAGTGTCAGAGTCAGTAACGGAGTCAGATTCTGCCACAGGTTGAGGGTCAGGTGAGGTGGTAAGGGTAGTGGCAGGCTTCTTTGTGAAGAACATTGTGATGGGTAACTGAGACCGTTTCCTCTTCATATCTAGAAACAGAGTTTTGTAGGGAATTATGCTCCTATCAATGTCATTCATCACCTTCAAAGCCCTCAACATCGATGGGTCTGTATCGTAAAAAAATTGTTTGAGCTGAGCTGTCATTCTCATCGCTTGCCCTAGTTTTTCAAGGGTCAGGGCTTGAGGTTGATTGGCCTCAGCAACACTCTCCTCATCTTCATCCTCATTCTCTGCCTGCACAATCTCCAACAATTCTTCATCATTTAGACCCAGTGCATGTTCTTCAACCAGTTCTCTCACCTCACCCTCCTGCATGTCCTCAAACCCTACACCACCAACTAGCCTTGCTAACTCCACAGTCTTCCTCACGGCTTTGTTAACCTCGTCCTGAGCACCAAATCCAACAAAGTCACACACACACTCTGGCCACAAAGCCTTCCAACAACCCTTCACTGTCTGAGGGTGCAAATCCTTGACACTATCATGCACTATTGAGAGGCAGTCAGCGATGGTGAATTTCTTCCAGTATTGAATGACGCTCATATCTGGATCTGCATCCAACACAGTGTGGAGTCTTTGCATTGACCTCTGTGTGTAGTAGGCTTTAAATGTAGCTTTCACACCCTGATCAAGAGGTTGTATCAGGGAGGTTGTGTTTGGTGGTATGAACACAACCTCAACATCATCACACATTCCCTCCAGAGATGGTGGGTGACCTGGAGCATTATCAAGAAGCAGGAGAATTTTGTTTGGGAGGCCCTTCTCTTGTAGGTACGCCCGTACCTCCGTCAGAAAGCACTGGTGAAACCAGTCCATACAGATGACGTTGGTGGTCCATGCTTTCGGACTGTGCATCCAGAATACTGGAAGGAGATTCTTGTTGCGTCCCTTCAGTGCTCTGGGGTTGGCAGCTTTATAAATAAAGCCTGGCTTTATCATGTGCCCAGCAGCGTTAGCACATAGCATTAATGTGCATGGGTCTTTCGCAGCCTTGAACCCAGGTGCACTCTTCTCCTCAATGGCAATGAAGGTCCTCGCAGGCATCTTCTTCCAATACAGGGCTGTTTCATCCATATTCCACACCTGCTCAGGCTTGTATCTCTTCACATTGATGATTTTTTTCAAAGTACCAGGGAATGCAGATGCTGAAACGTGATCAGCCGAACCTGATTCTCCACTTATCTTCAGGTTGTACAGGGAGAACCGTCTCTTGAATTTATCAAACCATCCTTTACTTGCTAGAAATTCAGGATGGGTGATGGTAGGACATCCTGGTTCTGTACTGGTGCTAGCCTCATCACTAGCCAACATATCATACAAAGTCTTTCCCTTTGAACGAATCGCATTGCTGTCTATGGGATTTCCTTTTCTATATTGGTCTGAAATCCACACAAATAATGCTGATTCCATCTTAGACATCGCATTGTTTCTTACTTGTGACACTTGCTTGGCTGAGGGAGGAGCAGTAGATGCTAGTGCCGCCCTTATCTTCGCCTCATTTTTCTTGATAGAGCGCACTGTGCTTTCATTTACACTAAATAATTTTCCAATGGCAGAATTGCTCAAATTACCTGTCCTACACTTGTCTAGCAATTTTACCTTCTCCTCCAGATTCATGACTTTCTTTGAGCGCTTAGGGGTTGGCTCATCAATAGCTGTTGCTGCTCGCTTGGGGCCCATACTTGCACCACCACGTATTTTGTATTCATCGATGTCCTGCAGGTGTTAAAAAATATATAATTATTGCCATTCTATTCTCAAGTACAGGAGGCCCTCCACATTCACAAGGTTTAGGGAATCAAGAACTTCGCAAATCTTGAAAATCTGCGAATGTTTGGTGCGCAAATATATTGTAGGGAAATATAATAATAGCATTTACTTAGCCTAACAATACTGCTTTCTTAACCTGTTGAACCACGATCAATCATAAAACACATGAAAACTTCATAAAATATTGTACATACATGTTATGGTTTAATAACAAATAATGAACAAACAAAATATTGACCACTCGTAAGGTTAGGCCGACGAACTCTGATGACTTGTGATGATGATGACAATGACGATGTTGATGGTGATGATAGTTAGCTATGCAGTTACTGATGACAGTTGAATGGAGGTGATTATATGGAGTGTAACTGCATGGCATGATGAGTCTAGTGTGTGGAGTCTCTTCACTGCCAGCGTCACTGCCAACATCGCTAGTGTCAGAGTTAGCAACGGAGTCAGATTCTGTCACGGGTTGAGGTTCAGGTGAGGCGGTAAGGGTAGCAGCAGAGAAGCATTTTCCCATACTTTTTTCCCTGCATTTGTTGCAAATATGGTTGGGCGGCTGGGCATTCGCAAATGTTCAAAGCTCGCAAAAGTGGAGGGCTAGCTGTATATTATTATTATTACTATTACAGTGCCCCAAGGCCTGGTGGCTAAAGCTCTGGCTTCACACGACGAGAGTCTGGGTTCAATTTCCGGCAAGGGTAGAAACATTGGGCATGTTTCTTTACACAGGTTGTCTATGTTCCCCATCAGCAAAATGGGTACCTGGGAGTTAGTTGACCGATGTGGGTTGCATCCTGGGACAAAACTGATCTAATCTGCCCAAAATGCTCTGCATATCAAGTGGCTTTCTACATAGTATGTCACTGATGTCAGCTAGGCCTGTATACCTCGTACATGTATACTTGTAGAAATAAAGATACAGCTAGCCCTCCACTTTTGTGAGCTTCAAATATTCGTGAATACCCAGCTGCTCAATCATATTTACCAAACAAATGGGGAAAAAGTACGGGAAAATGCTTCCCGCTGCGTCCCTACTACCCTCCCTCTTACCCTCTCAACCGGCAGCCCGCCAGTCCGCCACTCACTCAGTCATTATCCAGTTACTGTTTGCGTCGGTCGTGTCCAGTTCCTGTTCGTGTCCTACTGTACACATGTGTTTGTGTGGTGGTGCAAGTATGGCCCCCAACTGAGCAGCAACCCCTATTGATGAACCAACCCCTAATCATTCAAAGAAAGAATCCACACACTAGACTCATCATGCCATGCAGTTACACTCCATGTAATCACCTCCATTCAACTGTCATCAGTAACTGCATAGCTAATTATCATCACCATCATCATCGTCATCGTCATAATCATCACAAGTTGTCAGAGTTCGTCTGCCTAACCTTATAAGTGGTGAGCTCTTGTTTATTAACCCGTAAACGGTCCAAGCAGATCTATGTTCACATGTGTAGAGCTACAAAAGTAGATCTACGTTTTTTTACATATTTTCAAATATAACAAAAAAAAAGTAGATCAAAGTTTTTTTATACATTTTCAAATGTAAAAAAACAAAAAAAAAGATCTACTTTTTTTACATACTTTCAAATGTTGAAAAAACGTATATATATGTTTGGACTGTTTACGGGTTAATTATTTGTGATTAAACCATAACCATATACAATATTTTATGATGTTTTCATGTGTTTTATGATTGTTCGTGGTTCAATAGATTAAGGAAGCAGTATTGTCTGAGGTAATCAGTCGACTCCAGGCTGAGGGACTGATCATCATTATTCTCACTTCTCTACGTGACTTGTTAAAGGTCCTAAGTTAATACAGTGGTACTTGACTTACGAGTTTAATTCGTTCCATGACTAAGCTCGTAACTCAATTTGCTAGTATATCAAATAAATTTTCCTCACTGAAATTAACTGAAATGCCATTAACCCTTCATCGCGCAAGGGGTCCGAAAATTTGAAATTCGAACTGAACTCCCTATGGTGGATAGAGTAACTCAATACAAGGTCAATGATCCCATATAAATTGATTTCTGATGGTTAGTTTTCGAGCAATTGCCAATCTCCGAAGACCGAAAATATTAGGCTGCTCCCGACAAAGGGATTAAAAAATTTTATGTTGCAAACTTGCAATTGTTAATAAAACACACCAAAACAATTTTTTAAATTTAATATACAAACAGACAATATAAAAAACATAAATGGAACTTGTATCAAAACATTTTTTAATTGTTACAAAAATATAAAAAGGAAGGAAATATCAACAATGCCAAATTGCAAAGTGATGCAAGTTTCAATCCCTATATTCCTGAGATTCATTTGGAAGACCAATGATTCTATATTGCTAAATGGCAAGATGGAAGTCTGAGAAACAATTTCTATCAGTCTTTATGCACAGATTTACTTTGCATACACTACACACGAATGACGATGTTACCGTTTTCTTCGAGGTGCTGCAATACTTGCAAGTAAACGGCCTTTGCCCTGCCATTGGGAAGTGCATTAGACTAATGTCTTTCCTAACACTGTCATCAGGCATTTCTGTACGTTTTCCCCTTCCAGGTTTCACTATGCCAACACAATTGGAAGTACATGGTGAATTAGTTGGTGAAGGTCTTGGAGTTGTTCTTAGGATGCTGCCTCTAAGGTTTTGTCCTTTAGACCTTGCAATTTCAGAGATACAATTCCTGAAATACTTCAGTTGCATACACTTTTGCTTTATTGCTCGAGAATCACGGCAATAAAGCAGCCATGCATTCACAACAGCAAGATCAAGAATATAGGCAAATAGCCGCATGTACCAACGTTTTGATTTCATTGGTGTTTTGTAGAGATGCACCAACATGTTGCTTTTGTCAATACCTCCCATGTTTGCATTATAGTTCTTGATGACTGCAGGGCACGATATTTTCTCTTTCCTCTTTGTAACCTTGTTATATCTGTCAACAAGACTCAGAGGCTTGACCCCAATATCAGTAGTCACTAAAGTCACAACTTTGGTGTCCTTCCATCTTACAACAAGGACACCATCATTGTTGTTGAAGCAAAAATTGCCCCTGACCACAGTGTTCCTTTCCATTTGTTTGATAGGCGCCAGATCTGGCTTACCACATCTATTGTCACGTACTGTTCCAGTGTATCTGCAGTTATACTTATCTCTTAGTAGCTTGACCAAAGGTATACTTGAAAAGAAATTGTTAGCATAGATTGCTGATGTGTTGGTCTTGTTCATAGTTTGTGCAAGTACCAGAACAATCTTTGTACTTATTGGAAGTTTAGATTCTTCCTGTGGCAGCTGTATGGGATGTGCGTCAAAAGTTGTTGTGCCTTGATACATGAGTATATCATGTATGAGTCCATCTTGACTTGCACGACAAAAAAGTTTGAAACCCCACTTATCTGGTTTTGTTTTGATGTACTGCCTTAGGTTTCCAGCAGTTTTACCCTTGAAACCAACCATGACTTCATCAATAGATTGCTTGGGTGTAGCTGGAATTTTCAAGCAAGCATTAGTTAGTTCAGTGTAAAGAGGCCTTACTTTGTAGAATCTGTCATTATCCTTTTTTGTGTTGTCATTGAAATGAATATGACTTCTAAGGTACCTAAACCTCTTAGACGCCATGCTATCTGCAACCTGTGGGATCCTAAAAGCAGCTTTCCAATAGTCTTCGAGGGATGGTAGTGAAGCAATACCCATGAACAACAAAATACCTATGAACCTCAAGATCTCTTCAGAATCTGTTGAAAAAGTACTATTTATGTCTTTTTGCCTTGCATACAAATTTGTTTGATATGCTATGTTATCTATCATGGCTGGAGTAACGAACATACGAAAATACTCATATGGAGACCTAATTGCAAGAGGCTTTTCATGTTCATATGCCGGCAAAGGATCATTTTCAATGTCATCTACGGTCCACTCAGATGAAACTTGAAGAGCAATATTCTCATGGATCTCTTCCTCATCCGGGTATTCCTCAATCCTAAAAGTTCTCTTTTTCCTCATTACTTTCTGCTTTTTGGCTGGCCTTTCTTCCCTTTCTTCCTCCTCATCATCAGTTGACATCTCTGCATCCTGTGCATCCGGTGGCAAGTATTCATCACCACTATCCAGCAATTCTGGTTCGTCTACCTCTGGTTCCGAGTCACTGTCTTCAGAAACGCAGACATACCTCGACCTGCTGGTCGACTGCTCCCCATAAAACAGCCTCTCATGGAACTGGAAGGACAATAGAAACCTCCTGTATAAATCCAGACCACTACAGAGTTCATATATGCAATTGAAAATTTCTTATAAATATTTATTTGACTAAAATTGGACATTCCCGAAAACTCGCACAAGACCGAAATAATTCGGTCTAAAATGCTTGCACTTTTTTCAACTGCATGCTACACTCATATTATGCTTCACACGGACTTTAGGTATATATCAAAATATGCCTAAACTATTCATGTTGACGCTGAGTTCAGTGGCTTTAAGATTAATGTGGCCACAAGTGGTCGAGGATTATCAAAAACCTTGATAATAACCCATGTGCAACATCCTTTCAATTTTGATACCACTGGAAGTGTCATCCTGCCAGAATGTCCTATAACCTATACTCTAAGTAAAGAGAAACAATTCTGGAACATGTGTAATGCGTATCTGGCAGGCCGGGTGGCTGACTAACTTTGGTCGTCTCTATCTCTGTCTTCATCTATCTTTGCCTGTCTCTGTATCTCTGTTTATCTCTGTCTCTATCTCACAGATACACATAAATAGTTATTATACATATTGTAAATTACCTAGGATAACCCAAAAAATCCAGACAAAGTACTATACTGTGCTTGTAGATATAAGGCATAATAGATATAAGGCATAATAGATATAAGGCATAATAAGAATGACTGTAAAGTAATACATATTTTCACTTGTTCAGGAATCAGACGTGACGACTGCATCACGTATAATACCTGTTGGTTCTGAAACAGAAAGAGAGACAAGCAGACAGAGACAGGAAGACGGCCATACAAGTGGACAGAAAGACAAGCAGAGACAGAGATAAAGAGAGAGAGCTAGACAGATAGACAAATAAACAGACATACAAATAGAAAGATACACAAACAGACAGACATGTTTATAAGTAACAGTAAAAATAAACAAACCTAAGGCAGTGTCACTCCACTGCTGCACCATCAGCAGTGGAGTGACACTCATCTTACATCATTCTTCAAGGAGTTTCATATATACTCCAGCATGTCTAAAATATTGCTGGGACCTATAATACAGTGGACCCCCGGTTCGCGATGCTATCGATATCTGATAAATCCGGTAGCCGATGCATTATATCGCCAAAAATTTGCCTCGGTTCCTGTTACAAAACCCGGTATGCGATGCGATTCATACGAGACGTGTCCACATGTGGCCTGACCTGCCCCATGCGTGCCAGTGTTTACAAGCCAGCCAGTGTGCGCGCATCTAAGGATACATTCGGTACATTCCATATTATCCATATTATCACTGTTTTTGGTGCTTGTTTCTGCAAAATAAGTCACCATGGACCCCAAGAAAGCTTCTAGTGCCAACCCTGTGGTAAAAAGGGTGAGAATTAGTATGGAAATTAAGAAAGATTTTGAAGGGTTTGGGGCTAACCCTGAGAAGCCAATGCCAGTTGTGGAATCCATTGTGCCTACTTCAAAAATTAAGGAAATGTGTGCACAGTGGGTTGAACTGCAAACCTTTATGGATGAAAATCACCCTAACACAGCTATTGCAAGCCATGCTGGTGACTATTACAATGACAATGTTATGGCCCATTTTAGACAAATCTTAAAGGAACGGCGACAGAGGTCCAGTGACTCTCAAGCTGGTCCTAGTGGCATTAAAAGAAGAAGGGAAGTAACCCCGGAAAAGGACTTGCTACCTCAAGTCCTAATGGAAGGGGATTCCCCTTCTAAACAGTAACAACTTCGACGCTCTCCCCTCCTCCCATCCCATCAATCATCACCAGATCTTCATTAAAGGTAAGTGTCAATTATTCTATTGTTATTATTCTATTGTTATTGTTGTTATTGTAATTATTCTATTGCATTAAACTTAATATTTCATGTGGTAAAAGTTTTTTTTTTCATACTTTTGGGTGTCTTGCACAAATTAATTTGATTTCCATTATTTCTTATGGGGAAAATTGATTCACTTTCCGATAATTTTGGTTTACGATGAGCTCTCAGGAACGGATTAATATCGTGAACCGGGGGTCCACTGTACGTACTTTGTATATATTTCTGGAATATTTTGAGGAATTGTTAAATGTTGATGAAGATAGGGAAGCTGTGATTTCATGTAAAGGGCAAGGAGGAATAACATCTTGTAGGAGAGAGGACGAGCCAGTTGTGAGTGTGGGGGAAGTTCGTGAGGCAGGGTTAAGGCAGCTGGGATTGATGGGATAAAGATAGAAATGTTAAAAGCAGGTGAGGATATAGTTTTGGAGTGGTTGGTGCTATTATTTAATAAATGTATGGAAGAGGGTAAGGTACCTAGGGAATGGCAGAGAGCGTGCATAGTTCCTTTGTATAAAGGCAAAGGAGACAAAAGAGAGTGCAAAAATTATAGGGAGATAAGTCTGTAGGTAGTAGGTTGGTAGACAGCAACCACCCAGGGAAGTACTACCGTCCTGCCAGATGACTGTGAAACAAAAACCTGTAATTGTTTTGCATGATGGTAGGATTGCTGGTTTCTTTTTCTGTCTCATAAACACGCTAAGATAACAGGGATATCTTGCTACTCCTACTTACACTTTGGTCACACTTCACAGACACGCACATGCATATATATATATACATACATCTAGGCTTTTCTCCTTTTTCTAAATAGCTCTTGTTCTTTTTATTTCTTCTATTGTCCATGGGGAATGGAAAAGAATCTTTCCCCCGTAAGCCATGCGTTTTCGTTATGAGGCGACTAAAATGCCGGGGCAATGGGCTAGTAACCCCTTCTCCTGTATACAATTACAAAAAAAGGGAGAAGAAGAAAAACTTTATAAAACTGGTTGCTTAAATGTGCGTGGATGTAGTGCGGTGACAAGAAAACAGATGATTGCTGTTTGTTATGAATGAAAAGAAGTTGGATGTCCTGGCCCTAAGCGAAACAAAGCTGAGGGGGTAGGAGAGTTTCAGTGGGGGGAAATAAATGGGATTAAATCTGGAGTATCTGAGAGAGTTAGAGCAAAGGAAGGGGTAGCAGTAATGTTAAATGATCAGTTATGGAAGGAGAAAAGAGAATATGAATGTGTAAATTCAAGAATTATGTGGATTAAAGTAAAGGTTGGATGTGAGAAGTGGGTCATAATAAGCGTGTAGCACCTGGAGAAGAGAGGAATGCAGAGGAGAGGAGGGGATTTTGGGAGATGTTAAGTGAATGTATAGGAGCCTTTGAACCAAGTGAGAGAGTAATTGTGGTAGGGGACTTGAATGCTAAAGTAGGAGAAACTTTTTAGAGAGGGTGTGGTAGGTAAGTTTGGGGTCCCGGGTTTGTAAATGATAATGGGAGCCCTTTGATTGAACTTTGTTTTAGAAAGGGGTTTAGTTATAGGTAATACATATTTTAAGAAAAAGAGGATAAATAAGTATACACGATATGATGTAGGGCGAATTGACAGTAGTTTGTTGGATTTGTATTGGTAGATAAAAGACTGTTGAGTAGACTTCGGATGTACATGTTTATAGAGGGGCCACAGATATATCAGATCACTTTCTAGTTTTTGTTTACACTGAGAGAAAAAGGGGTTAGATGGGATACAAGGAGAATAGAAGCATCAGGGAAGAGAGAGGTGAAGGTTTATAAACTAAAAGAGGAGGCAGTTAGAAAGATTAAAAAAAGCTATTGGAGGATAGATGGGCTAATGAGAGCATAGGCAATGGGGTCGAAGAGGTATGGGGTAGGTTTAAAAATGTAGTGTTAGAGTGTTCAGCAGAAGTTTGTGGTTACAGGAAAGTGGGTGCAGGAGGGAAGAGGAGCGATTGGTGGAATGATGATGTAAAGAGAGTAGTAAGGGAGAAAAAGTTAGCATATGAGAAGTTTTTACAAAGTAGAAGTGATGCAAGGAGGGAAGAGTATATGGAGAAAAAGAGAGAAGTTAAGAGAGTGGTGAAGCAATGTAAAAAGAGAGCAAATGAGAGAGTGGGTGAGATGTTATCCAACAATTTTGTTGAAAATAAGAAAAAGTTTTGGAGTGAGATTAACAAGTTAAGAAAGCCTAGAGAACAAATGGATTTGTCAGTTAAAAATAGGAGAGGAGAGTTATTAAATGGAGAGTTAGAGGTATTGGGAAGATGGAAGGAATATTTTGAGAATTGTTTAAATGTTGATGAAGATAGGGAAGCTGTGATTTTCGTGTATAGGGCAAGGAGGAATAACATCTTGTAGGAGTGAGGAAGAGCCAGTTGTGAGTGTGGGGGAAGTTCGTGAGGCAGTAGGTAAAATGAAAGGGGGTTAAGGCAGCCGGGATTGATGGGATAAAGATAGAAATGTTAAAAGCAGGTGGGGATATAGTTTTGGAGTGGTTGGTTGCAATTATTTAATAAATGTATGGAAGGGGGTAAGGTGCCTAGGGATTGGCAGAGAGCATGCATAGTTCCTTTGTATAAAGGCAAAGGGGATAAAAGAGAGTGCAAAATTATAGGGGGATAAGTTGTTGAGTGTACCTGGTAAAGTGTTATGGTTAGAGTTATAATTGAAAGAATTAAGAGTAAGACGGAGAATAGGATAGCAGATGAACAAGGAGGCTTTTAGGAAAGGTAGGGGGTGTGTGGACCAGGTGTTTACAGTGAAACATATAAGTGAACAGTATTTAGATAAGGCTAAAGATGTCTTTGTGGCATTTATGGATTTGGAAAAGGCGTATGACAGGGTAGATAGGGGGGCAATGTGGCAGATGTTGCAAGTGTATGGTGTAGGAGGTAGGTTACTGAAAGCAGTGAGAGTTTTTACGAAGATAGTGAGGCTCAAGTTTAGAGTATGTAGGAAAGAGGGGAAATTTTTTCCCCGTAAAAGTAGGCCTTAGGGCAAGGATGTGTGATGTCACCGTGGTTGTTTAATATATTTATAGATGGGGTTGTAAGAGAAGTAAATGCGAGGGTCTTGGCAAGAGGCGTGGAGTTAAAAGATAAAGAATCACACACAAAGTGGGAGTTGTCACAGCTGCTCTTTGCTGATGACACTGTGCTCTTGGGAGATTTTGA